TAGAGCTTTCTTAAATTGAAACCGATTCATTTAGCAATAAAGACAACCTATAAATTGTTTAGAAACTGCACTTAATTAACACCGAGCACATTTAGTGGTGCTGCAATGCTTACTACAGTACACATTGCTTTGACATACAGAAATGCTTCATAACTCCAGAACAAAAAAGTGTAAGATTGTCTTTACTTGAAACATTTTTTCAATCAACATGGGGCACATACACTTATACATGTACAGCGTATGTGAGCGGAGTAACACTAATTGTTTATAGCACCAATTCTAGTTCCTTACAGTAAGTACGTGTAAATTACTCCTCAAGAATTCTGACATGTAGAGTACATGTATGATTTCCTGCAGTTAAAAGGGAATAAATTAGATTTGATTCAGGAGTATACTTCACACAAACATCACCATTAAGGAAACTTGCTCTCTTTAGCAAGGATCCAATGTCTTGTAAACAAAAAAGAAGAAGAAAAACCCCTAAAAATAGAGGGGTAAAAATGAGCACTTTATCAAATAAACCTGTACCAATAGGTGTACACATAGCAAGTAGTAGTACAACAGAATATGAAAATTGTGTAATAAAAATAAAACATTATAATTTGGGGATTAGTTCCAAGCATGGCAGGCCGTGACTGATTCCTGATAATAATTCAGCCGTACTCAAAGTATATATACTGTATGTATGTCTTTGAAGATACACAAACGACTTCCAGAGAAATTGGATTACAGAATGATCAAGTATATAAAAAAAAAGGGGGAAAAGGAAATATAACAAATGAAACACGGGAGTAATACCATAATGGGTAACTTTAGACAAGGAAAAAGGGCGTTCACTTTAGATTGTCCAATCTGCAGGTTAAAAATAATATTCCCTCTCCTGAAGGTATACAGTATGTAGGTCATACATGTACTACCAAATTCAATATCTATACATTGGTGTACCAAGTTCCAAAATTCATGGAATAGGGAATGGCAGGAGATTAAAACTATGCATTCATACAGTTACAAATACAATTACGTCACAAATCGTTGTAATAAGCCTCGATCGATTCTGTGTCGACTGAAGCATGCCCATACAGGTATGGGAATTAGAATAGTACAATTGCTATGTCAATGGCAGTGATTTATAGCAAAGAGAGAGAGAGAGAGAGAGATACTGTCAAAATTATTTCCACTTCAAAAGAACAATTAGAAGTTCAAACCTTTGGCACACCAGCATGTAGTGATCTATACAAACAAAATTTGTGCAAAGAACATATAAAAAATTAACATTTAAACCAGTTTATACTAGTACAGTTGCTTGTACTTCAGCGAAACAAGAAAAAATTGATAAGCCTGCAAGAACATTTGATCATCCACAGTTCTATAGCATGATAACATTAGCTTTGGTATATCTATAGAGCTATGTGAACTCTTTGTTTCAGAGTTTTTTTTTTAAAAATTAAAAAAAACAGTAATATTCCGAGCTAGTTCATCCAAACTGCTGCTGCACAGAATTAATTCTATGAAAAACCCTGGTAAAGTAAATTGTAACAAAAAAATATGTAACCTAAGAACTTGGCTCTTTAATCATGTGATTTATAGGTTGATATTTTGTTAGATGCTTAATTGCTTATTGCGTTCCACATCCACCGTAATATATTTTTTTTAAAGAGGCAGAGCCTAAAATCCCATCTCCCTTCACATGTACGTACACTTGCTACATTTTTGTTTATACATTTTAATGTCTTGTTTTCTTTTGTGTGCTTTTTGCCTCCCCCTCCCCCCCCCCCCCCCCCCATTATAAACATCATAAAACATTTCAGATTTAAGCTATCCCATCCGAGGATATAATTATGCAAACAAATACCAAAAGATCAATGATTATTATAGGGGCAAACTCAGGTGTAAGCTTGACGATCAACATTTACAAAGCAACACATTCTGACAGACTTGTAAAGCTTTACATATTCACCGGTACATTCAGAAAATATGATAAACATTCCATTTCAACAGTCAATACTCATTTTCTCTTTTCTCAGAACCTGCAGGAAATGAGAAATAAAAATATTGCACATTTTCTGCATCGTTATTCAAACCTTGCTGTCACAAAAATAAAGTCTCTGCTTTCAATTTGCAGTATGGTGTACACACTACTTTTATACATGCAGCAAACAGATGCACACACTGTAGCTATTGGAAAAAGACAGATACTATATAGTTTAAAACAAGAGAACAGCATAGCAATATATCTAATTACTCTCTGTTACAGAAGTTTAGTGAATACATTTCCTAACTGCTCTATGACACAAAGTAGTTTTGGTGAGTATACTGGGACTATGAGAGTTACCATTATACCGAGGTTCTGAAAAAAAATCATAGGAGTGGGAGGTTTTCAAAGCGGCTTGGTTGTTAAAAAAAAGGTAAAAGTACATTTTTTAGAGAAAATTTGGAATATATAGTTAGCATGGAAGCCCTGGTTGATGACAGAGATAAAAAGGATAAGAGTACCAGTAGGTATTTCTTATGATGGTGAAGTAGATTAATATGATGATTATGATGAAGGTGACAATGGGGTTGATAATGATGGGGATGATAATGATGGTGGTGATGGTGATGTGGATAATTGTGAGTGGTAGCAAAATATCAAATTGATTATGGTAAATACATAATTCATATAATAAAATGAAAAATTATTGTTGCTGGTGTTATGCCTTTTTTCTAATGTCGGTATATAAACATGTAATTCATATCAATAATCCAGACCGCTGACATTAATACAATGAGAGGGCATTAGAAAATGAAATCGAAATATTAAAATGTTTAGCTCAATTGTATACAGCCATGAGCATGTCCAATAGAGAAATCTGTGTTCCAACCTAAAGTGAAAGCATACATCGTATTTTCATGGCAGTGTTGATTTCATTACTACACACAAGTTTGCTCCTGACGCGAGCAGGCGTCGACTCGAGTCCTTACACAACAATCTCCCTGCTAGTATCTAAGGTCTACGCTACACGATGAAGAACAATGAAAGCAAAATACCAAGACAGTCCACAGCATGTATTAAACGTGAATGAAAATGAGGAAATATGGAAGTTGAAATATTGCATCCATTCTTGCACGGTGAGTTGAATTCTTGACACCAAGAGGTGCCTACACAGTGAGACAGACATTGTTAACTAATTGCATTTTAAATGATCAAAACGAAAGTTTAGCTCTAGCAGAATTTTTGGTATACAATATGTTGAAGATTCCTCGTCCTATGCATCAGATATATCCCTTTGTTGTTGTCTTCTGCTGCTTTAAAGATAAAGACCAGTTATGGTCATGCGATTTTTTGAGAGCGGGGGCGTTTCCAAAACTGATCTGTACCTCTAAGACTCATTTGTTGTAAATGAACATCATATATGCAGTAAGCAATCTTCTTTATTTGTATAAGTACAATCATTGTCCTGCAGTATGTAAGTATTTTCATCTTGTGCAACATATGCTGCACAAACACATGCCATTTCTTATGTTAGCAAACTACCCTTCAAACTTCAATTGTACTAGAAACTGATAAATATGCCAGAAGTACCGATTTCATTTCAATGATAAAGGAGACGTTTTATGGACTAACTGTCTATTAACCACCTCACTGGCAATGGACATGTAACAATCATTATTACATGGCCAGCTTTAGTCAGCGTGATATATCATATAATTTCCTATCATTATATTACCTTTGACCACTTTCAAGAAAATTCATTATATTCTCCAATCCTTCAATCAGTATAGTGGATTTCTTTCCTTTTCATAACTTAATATAAAAATATGTTCTCAATTCTACCACAATGAAACAAGCCAAACGGTTTCACATCGATGAACAACCTCCCTCAATATCTCATTAACCTATGTGACCATCCAATGACATCATCTACATGCCCTATGCATTTCATGGATATACATCATATCATGTACATGTAGTATTGCGATTTGGAGATGTAGATGATTTGTTTGCAGCTCATTCACGCACTTACCACGAATTTACCATATCAAAATAAAGATTTAGCAAAATGCGCAGCTAATGAGAGGCATAAGAAATAATGTTTGAGGTAATATCCACATATTACGTAGCCTTGAGAACGTGAATATTCAAGTGCCAACAGGATGGAATTTTTATTTTTAATTACGGTGGACTCTGACTGGATTAAAAATTATGGGCTGTTTAATTTCAGTGGTGAGAAGTGGCACTTAGATGTACATGTACATGTACAAGTATGTGTAAAAGTACAAGCCGGTCTAATTCTAATGCTTTATTTTACTCTACACGAGAGTAATCTTCTAACCTTGCCTTATCTTCCTTGAAATAAGCCCCAACAATAATCCACCCTAGTCCACCAGGTTAACATTAACCTACATGTACTAAATTAAACCAGCATCTGAGGTACAATATGCATTCCCCTCCCAACAAGCTAATTCTAAATTTAAAAAAAACCCATGGTCAATATTATCGCCCGCTTTAATACCGACATTACCATTCCCCCATCATATGAAAAACCTGAATCATGGCAATCTTACAATTTCAATTAGAGTTTCAAAATTTTGAGACATAATCCCTTCTGATTCTGCAGCAGTTCCTTTGATTCCATTGTCTCCACTCATATCTGGCGCAAGTGAATTCCTTCAAAGCTTTCATTTATCTCTGGTCATTGTGAATTCCTTTGGCCTTCTCTACACACCGCAGAGCTTCTCTAAAAACAACCAACGACAACTGTTTGCATTCCATTTTCCACTTCAATCTGATACCGCAATTCACACCAAAACGCATTCCACCATGGCAGCTTTGTCCAACCCTTGCCAGACCTCAGGGTCTATCGTCTTCAACACAATCGGCTATGAAGAGCAGTTGCAATGACCATTGTCTCTGCAGTCACAACGGTCGCTTCAGTTGCAGCGACTCTTGTCATTGCAGTCAAAACGACTCTGGTTTGCCTCTGTCGCAAAGACTCTGGTCTCTGCAGTCGCAGCGACTCTTGTCATTGCAGTCACAACGACTCTGGTCGCTTCAGTCGCAGCGACTCTGGTCTCTGCAGTTGCAACGATTCTGGTCGCTTCAGTCGCAGCGACTCTTGTCATTGCAGTCACAACAACTCTGGTTGCTTCAGTCGCAACAACTCTGGTCTCTGCAGTCGCAACGACTCTGGTCTCTGCAGTCACGAAGACTCTGGTCGCTTCAGTCGCAACGGCTCCCATTCCCGTCTCTTCATAGCCCTCGCCTCTAGTCAGAGCCTAGGGTCTGGCTCAAAGTCTAGCACCAACAGTTTTGTCTCCTCCGTGCCATTGCGGCTTCCCACCGCGCACACCAGTTTCGTTTGATTGGCGCAGACCCGCCACACCACACCCCCACTCCCTCCGCTGTCCAAAGTCACTAGGTTCCTTATGAATTCACCAGTGTTCAAGTCCCATAGCTTCACGGTACCGTCGTCAGAGCACGTGATCACAAACTTGCGATTGAACTGCAGGCACGTGACAGCACTCTGATGTTTGTTGGCACCTATCCATGAAAACAAGGAAATTATATTTATAAATGATTATTTAATTTCTATTTCCTGCATTTTTCCAAATATAATAACTGAATAACAAAGAACATACAATGTAAGGTATAATAAAAAATATATACAAACAATAATAAGTTGTCAAAATGGTTTACATATATACATATAATAACGAAACTTAATATTTCTACTACATATTATTATAAATTTAAAGCATTATCCGAACTATCTGTAAAAAAAATGCAGGAGACTGCAATCATAAGCGATGCTTGAATAGGATGGTGGCCTCAAAAAAACATCTTAAAGTGACATTTTAAATGAAAATATGTTTATTGGGATGAGCTATAAGTTACTTCTAAATCTCTCCTTCTTTCTTTTTTTTATTGGAAGAAGTTGTATTACAAATAAAATGTTACAGGTTAAAAGTATGAAATAGAAGAAAACTCAAAATTGTCAACCTTGATCACTCCCTTTCCTTTCCTCTTTTCCTTTTTCCATTTTCTGTATATATATATATATATATATATTGAAAAAAGCCTTTAGAGCTTGATTATATTCGATCTTATCATAATCTGCTTTAGTTTTTATTTTCATTTTTTGAACTGCTTTTTTCTTCCTTCTTCTAAATGGTCAAAAAGATGATTCTTTCGACAAAAGAACATACCGGCAGCAACTTAATTATCAGCTACTATAGGGGGGCGTTTCACAAATCTTGTCATCAGTGACAAATGACAGTTTTTGTTATAAGCTACTGAAAACCTTGCTTCTGATTGGTTATTAGCTGATTTGTCACTGATTTTTGTCATTTGTCATTGAAAAAAGGCTTTGTGAAACGGGCCCCAGGTGTTACCAAAAGATACAAGTTGTAACGAACCTTGTAATGTTTGTAAGCACTGGCCAGACGTGATGTCCCATATCTTGACGGTGGAGTCAGCATTCCCAGATACCAGGATGTTATCTTTCAGCTCCATGCCGCTCGTGAGAGACTGGTGACCCGTTAGCGTGTGCTTGCATTCACCCGTGTCTGCATCCCACACCCGTATAGACGTGTCCAGGGAACCACTCACTATGTGCGTACCGTCAAACTGGATGTGATGAATGAAGAAATGGAGGTATGAAAAATGCGTTGTTTTATCTTTTGGTTTTAATTTAATGAGGCTACTTTTATCATGGTGAATACATGCTATCTGTATCTGTTTAGATCATAACATTGTTTCTTCATTCACACTTGCAATATCTACTTCTCAATAGATACTCATTTATTTTTAAATACTGAAATATAGCAGTTGATGACAAATCTATTTCATTTATGCCAAACTTCACCCAAGAAGAGCACAAACATATGTGATTTGCATTCTGACAATTGTAGAACAAAGGCTAATAGCAGGTGAATGAAATACTTCATCAACACATGTGGCATAAAAATCTGTCCCGATTGTTTGATGTTACATGCCATATTTATAATATTAAGGCGTTTGAAGAGCCATGCTTTTCAGGGAACATTTTTTAATCTTGTGTTCTTCCACACTTGCATAATACGATGATAACGCTCACAAATTATTTTCACCTCTTCCCAAACTAAACCTTCTCTTTAAGTTCTTTTTAAAATATTATTGTGAATGAAGATCAACGTACCTGTAATGAATAGACTCTGTTGGTATGACCTTGCAGCGTATGAAGACACTCCTCGGTCTCAGGGTTCCAGACCTTGACCGTGTAGTCGTAGGCCCCACTCACTACCCTCCTACCGTCATACTGGACGCACCGGACCGCCGCTACGTGGCCCATAAGCACATGAAGACACAGACCGGTCTCGATGTCCCATAACCTTAGAGTGGCATCTCTTGACCCGCTCACGACCCTGGTAGGTAAAGCAAAGATCAAGGGGAAATGTACATTAAAACATGCGAGAAGTACTAAATTCAGTATAACTACATGTATGTCGAGACAAATACTATCCAATTACGTGACCCGTCTGCAAGAGATTACTATTCCCACATAAGACTCAATAGCAACAGCAGCACACCATATCATCTACCTGAGATGTCCTACTCAGGGTCGCCTCTGAGGCCTTTGACTTAGAAATAATGTGCAAGATTACCAGCAAATAGATGAAAGAGCAACAAAATTGTTGAATCAAACCATACACCATATTTTCAGCTGAGAACTATACAAACTTAATTGCTCCTTTTAACCGTCTGAATAGATAGAATATTTCACGAAGTCAAGAGATTATATTCATTCAAATCAAATCAAATTCCGGGGGGAGGACCTTGTTATCGGTGTCATTTCAAGCAGTAATTGAATTTTATAATGATTATTCCAAAAGACAACACTGAGAGCAGACAAGTTCTTTGCAAAATCTATATAATTAGTGTCACTATCGGTTGTCCATATGCCACAATCTACTTCACAAGGTACTCAAGAGAGTGAGAGATACAGTTCATTGAATTGTGCAGAGCAGCCAACCTCCAGAACAGGAAATCAGTAATCAGTAATTTTGGAAATAATTCAGCAATTTCCTATGCAGCACTATGAATCTATGAAAAACGGCACGCCAACAGTGCACGTTTTTTGTTTGTAATCCATAAGTTTAGACAACATTCCTTACTGCCGTAATGATCGCTAATTTCCATACCAATTACTGGAAATCTGTACTAGTTGGCAGCTCTGATTGCGTCTCTACTAAAAAAGTTGGTCATTGTTTACTTACTTGTTGCCATGTAAGTGCATACACCTGACCGTCGACGTGTGACCGTACAGGGTGTGTATACAGTGCCCGGTGTCGGCATTCCACACCTTGAGCGTACGGTCTGTTGACCCGCTGATGACAATGTTGTTGTTCATCTGAGATGACCACACGCCACCAGTGTGACCCACCAAGGTTCGCAAGCACTGTGGGGACATATGGAAATATGATCATATGTTTAAGGGGTATAAGACTATGGCCATTGATTCTTGAAGAAATTGGACAGTTTTATACATGGAAATACAATTAACATCTAAATTATTTGTACCCTTACCAAGTTTGTAATTTCTTAAGTATGTAAAAAATGAATTTCTCCTGATCTTGAGAATGTGCCTTATTAAATGTATATAAAAGTATTCAACAAAGGCCCTAATTCAACCAGTCCACCTTTCATTCTTGAGTAACGAAAAACACACAAACACAAATCAAATTCACAAGGGGTACGAATAATTTAGTTGTTATCTGTATAAAAGGGCAAGTCAAAGATACAGGTACATGCATTTGGTCATTATAACTTTAATACCAACAGGAGTTAAAACATACATTGACATGAAAATTATCATTTTGCTTTATTACTGTCTTATCCACACTCTAGTAGGGTTATTAACTCACTACAATAATCTAGGTCAGACTTACCCAACAAATATATTTAAACTGGATCCCAATTTCTGACTCCTTTTCACACATCACTTTATTTGGAGAAATTCTTATTCATTTTTCACTTTGCTTAAAAATTAGAAAATAACTTCACGTCTATTAAGACAGAAACTTGTCATGCATGAAATTCTATATTCCTTTCAAGAGTGGTCCAAATTAGCAAAAAATCATTGTGGCTGGATGGTTAATATACACAATAGAATGTCTGCAATTGGCAAAAAGTTTCCTGCCACAAAAATGAACCTCACAAATGAATCGTGACAGTTTCAGTTCACAAACAATTCTGGATCTTAAGTAGAAAGTTAACAGACATGTTACATACTTTCAAAAGACACTACCCAGCACAATTTCTTACTCACCTTGCCAGTTAGAGCAGACCACACTTTGAGTGTATTATCATCTGATCCACTGACAATCCTTTGACCATTGAACTGTAAACACGTGATGACATGGTCATCGTGACCTTTCAACGCCTAGACAGAGAAAAGGGGGAGAGATCAGAAACAAAAGGTAATGGCGAGAGGCAAACGGGGTTCATCACACAAACAACTACTACCACTATCAAAGATGTTATCACGAAGCACCGTTTCTTTGCACATTGTCACAATAATGTCCTCTTTTATGTTTAATATCAATAAGCGAATCATTGTTTTTATGGCACGAGATAAAAAGAGTCATCAGAATAGCTTTGAAAAGTAGAGTATAAAATAATAATTTGCATGATTGTTTTTCAATAAATACTTATTAAAATGACCCTCTTTACTTCCTTTTCAGCACTTTAACTCTTCCAACAAATGGCAGAGCACTGGTCTTGTAATAAGGAGGTCCCGAGTCTGAAACCATGTCGATGTGTTAGTGCCCTCTGGTAAGGCATCAAACCCTCGTAATCGAGTCCCTCAGCGAGGACTGAAAGTCAGCGGTCCCCTGAATGCTAACTTACTAGCATTCACATGCTTTCTTTTATAGCAGTCAGGTTAAACAAACCAACAATGGTACATCCATGGACAATGTAAGATCGCCGTTCACTCACCTTCCCCGTCTTGATCTCGCCAAACCTCCAGTTGTACTGTATCTGATGCTGCCTGAGGTACATGCTCTTCCACGGGCTACGAGGGACACCAGAGTTGGACCTCCTCTTGGTCTGCTTCCCGTTGAGCTCCTCAATCCCGGTCTCTCGGCACTTCTCCTTCCAGAGGAGGTTGTCCTCGCAGAGGATGCGCCAGTAGTGGCAGGTCTGGGCAGCGCGCAGGAGGTCCCTCGGCTCCAGGAAAGACAGGACGTAGAGAGCCAACTGCAAGACGAAGATCATCCAAAGGCAAATGTGTTAGTGTTACGAGCAATAACAGTGATTAGGGTATTACATCTCTACATGCATGTACATGTACATGTATACGGAACGGAGAGAGAGAGAGAGAAGAAAAAAAATGCTTCATGCTTCAGGTCTCGAAAGCCCCCCAATAACTCTATAAATATTAATAAAGTTATATATATGAAAACAATGCAAATCAGGAAATTAAACAATGAAAAACTAGATGGAATTCGACTGCGCGCAGTCGAAAATGATGCCTCCGTCATAGAGCAATTTTACCAACCAAAACAGAAGAAATTTTTCAAATTCAAGTTCATTTGTAATCCATTAACAGGTTCTCAAAATATCGTGATTACAAGCTATTTTTGCATACATAATGAGCCATGACCTTTGACCTCATGACCCAAGAATCTACTCAGTTCATTGGCTCTGCAAGATACATACATGATCTAAGTTTGGCAGGAATCCATCAATCTGTTCTAATGATAATGCGATCACAAGCCATTTTTGCATACATAATGAGCCGCGTGACCTTTGACCTCATGACCCCAAAATCTAATCAGTTCATCGGCTCTGCAAGTAACATACATGACCAAAGTTTGGCAGGAATCCATCAATCTGTTCTTGAGATAACGTGATCACGAGCTGTTTTTGCATATATAATGAGCCCTGTGACCTTTGACCTTTGACCTCGTGACCCCAAACTCTAATCAGTTCATTGGCTCTGCAAGATAAATACATGACCAAAGTTTGGCAGGAATCCATCAATCTGTTCTTCAGATAACGCGATCACGAGCCGTTTATACATACATAATGAGCCCTGTGACCTTTGACCTTTGACCTCGTGACCCCAAAATCTAATCAGTTCATCGGCTCTGCAAGATAAATACATGACTAAAGTTTGGCAGGAATCCATCAATCGGTTCTTCAGATAACGCGATCACGAGCTGTTTTTGCATACATAATGAGCCCTGTGACCTTTGACCTTTGACCTTGTGACCCCAAAATCTAATCAGTTCATCGGCTCTGCAAGATACATACATGACCAAAGTTTGGCAGGAATCCATCAATCGGTTCTTCAGATAACGCGATCATGAGAACGGGACGTACGGACGTACGTACGGACGGACGGACGTACGGACGGACGGACAACCCGAAAACATAATGCCTCCGGCTACTTCGTAACGGAGGCATAAAAATTCATGTCGATAAACAAATATCTATTTGTAATAGAATTTAAATGATCTTCATGCTTGCAATCACATGTACATGTATGATAAGAGCAACACGTTAGATTGAAACTACAGCACATGTGCAAGATTTATCACTTTATTTCATGTAAGCCCACACTCATGACTACATCTGTGGTCAGAATCTGACAAACATTTTCAAGTCACATACATGTAGTAACAACAGATATATTACAAATATGTATTGTTTGAGTACATTAATTTCAAATGCAATTGTCTATGCTTAGAAACAAACTTCAGAGACCAGCCCTTCTACATAAAAAAAAAGTTTCTTCTATAAACTGATACTGAGAAAACTGATTCTGAAAAAATAAATATAACGTAATCAAACTATAAAGTCTACTGCAAATCTCCGTGTATAAGACGCACTTTTTGCTGCCGAAAAAAATTGACACACACACACACACACAAAAAAAAAAAATCGTTTTATGCCCCTCCACCTGGCACTATCCCTGGCAATGTCTCCCAGCTCAGTAATCTCGGTGTGTTGACTCACCACTCGGAAAACTAGAACAATACTCCAATTGTCATCTTGGTTTTAAGTAATCTTTCTAATAGATCTCAATATGTAGTTTATAATAATAATTCCTCCAATTTTTCTTCTGTTACACACGGCGTACCACAAGGTTCTATCCTAGGTCCTCTACTTTTTAAAATTTACATTAATGATCTTACACATTCTTCTAAAAAGGACATTGTTACTATTATTTGTGACAAGTTCACAAGTACAAATCGGCGCCTTCAACTGCACCTTGCAGTTAAATGAAAGTCCTTCCCTGCATGGATTTTTTAGCACGGACCCCCCCCCCAAAAAAAAAAAAAAAAATAAATAAAAAATTTTAAAAAATAGGGGTGCGTCTAATATACACAGGTGCGTCTTATACACAGAGATTTACGGTAAATGAATGTAATTTTTTGCCATTCTTACACACACTTGGTTTGGTGGATTTTAAGCTGCGTCAGTTGACTGAAACATTTAATCTCTAATATATTGACCAATTATAATGTCAAAGTAACAATTTCCATGACTTTCAAAAAAGTTTTTCACAAGTATAAAAATGAATTGATGAAATAAATGTACATGGGCATATACATAATATATACTGAAACTGTATGACCACATTAATCTGATAACAGATACATTTACTTCTACCATTTTGTTGCAAACCATTCCTGTTGCAAAAAGTTCACAACCCCTGACAAAGTAATTTAAAGCTATCTTGTCTAAAGATCAATGAATTGGCAGTAATACAAAGCTTCCTAAAAACTGCTCTTTTTATTAAGCCCCTGGAGTGCAGCCAAAGTTCACGAGGCTCTCTAAGGCTTTGACTTAAAGCTTTGTATCCCCCTTAAGAGATACGTATATCATCACATCTCTTAAGTGACTACTTGGCAAAAGCCTGCTTCCTTCCCCTCTTCTTCCCAGTGCCCATATGACTTTAAAAGCTGGTCATTCAAGCATGTACACAGAAGCAAGTCATAAGACAAATCCCTCATAATTTGTTGTTGCTTCTTGTCTTATTCTTTTTAAAGTCATGATCGCTATTGTTTTATTGCTAAAAATAAGAATTCAGATGCTCACAATTTGTTTTTATATGAGTTTGTTTCAAACAAATGATAAAAAGAAAGACATGTACATTGTAAGTTCATACAAAATGTATTTTTCTAGGATACACCTGTAGCTCTGAAATGATGTATTCTGTTATACAATTCAATTAGCCACTTTGTAAGTTTTTGTGAAAAAAAACACTATGTGGCTTGATGAAGAACAATTTTCCATCTGGATAAATTTAATCTCAAAATCAACGCCACACTCAATTACGGAACCAACATCATTTCACTTTAATGAAATTCACATACTCTGTACATTTGTTTAAAACTATTTTGGTCAACATATGACTTTATGATCTGCATGATGCATCAAAATTGATTTTTCCCTAAATTGATATTCAAAGATTTCATGTTTGCTTCAAAATTGATCTTAAAAAGTAAGTTCTACAAAAAATAAACCCCTTTTATCATATTGAAATATATTTCCATAGTTCTCGTGTCAACATAGTTCAGAGCAGTCTCCAAACACATTTCCATAATTTCAATGATGCACCAGAAACCGTGATTTGCCCCAACAATTCTTTCATAAAAAGGGCTATTTGTCTAAGGAATGTTTGTTTTTTTTTAAGATGTTTTTTTGAGATTATAAGGAAGTGTCTCACCTCTCTAGGTAATAATGAGATGAAATCTCTCTGGAACTGAGGCTCAATGATGGACATGATATGCCTCACTTGCGATGGCTCACACCGCTCTATGAGATCATCGAGGGCTCGCATTTTCTCTGACTGGTTCCAGTTCTGCAAAAGAAAAACACAGATTCAATGCATCATGAATACAGCAAAGGAGTATGATTTATTTCTAGTTACAGAAATCCGTAGTTAATTCTTTGTGATAAATAATTGGGATAAATAATAGTAATCAATAATTACTGTGTTTTTTTTTCTTTTTTTTCTAATAATGATTTACTGTGGATACTTCCCAAACCACTGGCATTCGGGAGCATTCCAACCAGTTGACCACCTACATGTGCATGTATGGGAGGCTTGGAGGCCTACATGTTTAATAACAAATACAAGTTAGTATGACATCCACATTACACAAGATACCTAATGACACCCGGATGGACAGGAGTAATGTACATAAACTACCTTGCTCAAGGACTTTAGAATTAGCAACTAGAAAGCAAATGCAGTTCTGTATATGTGTGTGTGTGTGTGAAAGCTCACATTTAGAAAGAAAAAAAATTATCATGTTTATCTCATATATGAATTTAAAGATAAACTCCAGTTCTGGTAATGCGATTGCATTGTGAAAGAAAAGGTGTGGAATGGATCAGAAACAGTTGATCATGTAGCATGTAAGTATTGGTGTGCACTGCAAGGTTCTGGACTCTGGAGTCATCAAAATTATAATAAATTTGGCCGAGTCTTGGTAAAGTAACAAGCACTGTACACAGAAAGCTATATATGGGAGAACACACATGGTGTCGGGGCTAGTACTATCTTGATGTCCTTGTCTTTCTATGCTCATTACTCAGCTAGTATACATTTTCTTCCAAAATTGTTTGGCACATGTCATTTATTTGTAATCTTGAACATTCAGTGTAAGTTTCGTTTGATTCTGTGAGAATTATTAATTTTTTTTTTTACCAGAACTGGAGTTTATCTTAAATATACACAGGTAATAAAACAGGGGTAAAAATCATCATAAGACGAACATGTACTGTACAGCTGTACCGCATAGTGGACTGCTTTTTTTCTTTCTTTCTTTCTTTTCTTACCATACATGTACATTTGCATGATTTTGTTCTCTCTAAAAGAAAGAAAAAAATGAACATTAATGCTGATGTAGCAATAAATCTATCAAACCTAGCACCAATACCATGCACAGTCATGTACATGTATACATCTCATCATTGAATTATGAATTATTATGTTTACACCAAGAACATTACAGGCTTTGACATGAATCTGAAAAAGAAGAAAAATGTATATTCCCCGACTCTCCCAAATGTCCATGACCCGAATGGACTCCATATTCAGCCTGTAACTGACATAATTGGTTGGCATGAACTCAACATGCCCTGTGAAAGTGGCACATTGAGGCTGTTCACACCGCGCTATCTCTGCGGTTTGGAAGGTACAACGTCGTTTCGGTCCGCCCAACAGCGAGCCACGGCGAGCCAAAACGGCGTGCCACCGGAGCACCTCTTGGGGGTGGTCCACGAGAGAGAGCGCAGTCTAGCGCGCGCTAGAAAAAAGGGGGTGCTACGATAGACCGCGCTATCTCATTGCGGTGTGAACAGCCTCATTGTTGATAATAAAGAGTTTGTTATGGTATGCTGTCGATAACAAGCACATTCATATGTATCATATTGCTCCCATTCAATTGCCAGTTTTACCTTGACAACTGACTCTTTTCTATACACATCTAAATATGCTACAACACCCTCCCCCCCCCCCCAAAAAAAATATATATATATATATATAACAATAATAATAATAATAATAATAATAATAATAACAATAATACATACATACACAAACAAATAAATTAAAAAAATATATAGATAATATTAAATCAATAATAAGATAAAGAAAGAAATAATACTAATAGTAATTGAACATCATTCTAAAATAATGGGGGAAAAGAAAACCCAGAAGAATAGACCTTATGGAAATATGTAAGTGTTGAGAGCCTTCATGATAATTTCATAACTATACAATGCGTTTCTGTGCAATCTGTGTCATCATGAGATTTATCAAGGGATAAAACGAGTATCTGGCTCTTATCCATTGAGAGACAGAGGAGAGTTAACTACTGAACAGTTTTTAGAGAGGGTTGAGTTCTTGGGAGAGGTGAACAATAGTTTGTGAGCGTTTTCATAGTTATTATGCAAGTGTGGAAGAACAGAGAAAAAATGTTTCCTGAAAAGCATGGCTTCATATTCTAAATAAGGTACATGTATGACACGTAATGTTGACCTCATTTTTATGTCACATGTTTGTGTAGTCCCAACATGTATACTTGTACATCTGTACATGTGTACATCCATACGTGTACAGTGCTCGTTACCTCTACCAAGACTGGGCCAAATTTCTTCTCATTTTGATGATTCCAGAACCATGCAGTACACACCAATACTTATATGCTGCATGATAAACTTTTTCTGATCGATTCCTCACCGTTTCTTTCACAATGAAATCGCATGACCAGAACTCAACTTTAATAACTCATAAGAGTAAGTACTGTACATACTTTTGGCTCGAAGCAGACATGATAAACATCCATAAACGTGCCCATTGCAACGTTTTTCCTTCCAACTTGCATACCCTGGATCGAATTTCCAATGCCAAGTCACTTGACTTCAATAGAAACTTACTTGAGGCTGTTTGGACTCACAACAAGGCTAAGGTCATACATACACATACATGTACAATGCACGTACTTGAGATGTATAATTTTGTATCATGAATATGTGTGTTCTTTTTCTCAATGGGAACATAAATAGAAGTCTATTTTTCCATTCATGCTGAATATTTTGGCATTCAAAGTTTTGTTTACTTTTTAAAAATCTTCTTCTTAATTGACCGCTATACCGTAGGTTTTTTCCTTCTTCAGATGCATTGAATACAGGAGACATACAGCACCTCTTGACATTGGATAGAGTGTGGTGTAAATTACTGAAATTACTAATAGTGACCTCGGCTCATTAATAAGGTGTGAAACATGTCGCAAAATCATGTACATGACACTATTTACAGTATTACTTACAGTATTTCCTGTTTCCTTAATACCTCACCCACTAGTGGATAGTGCATGTACTTTTAAAATGCTGTCTATAAATACCAACTCTATTATAGTACGATAAAAATATTTTCATGAAACATTTAATAGAAACAATTTACTGAAATAAGAAGTCAATCTTTATTTTCATTTATTTTTCTTTGTTGGGGAAAGGGGTAGTGTTGGCTTTACAATACACATCGTCCATGAATGATTATCATCAATAATCTTAACGTTACAGCTTTTTAAGATAATTATGGAAAATTAAAAACAGAAAACATTGAAATAAAACTAAAATGTTGAAGTACTCATAGCTGCACAGTTTGTTTTCCACCTATCAAACTTAAAGGCAGGGTATTATACTGACACTACTTCAGATAATGCCATCTGCTGCTCACAATGTCCTGATGTGTTGACAGCCATGTTCCACAATGCATCACCAACTACGCAATTTGCATGACACCAAATGAAGATGCTTCACTACAGGAACCGGATATCGCTCTATGTACGCCATCACCGAAAGACGGCATAACCGAAAATACATCCCAGCAGTGGTAGCAATGTTGGTGAAATAAACTTGAAATTTTTTGAGGATTTCTGTCTTCTTTCATAAAGTTTAAGAAGTCTCTTTTTTGCTACCAAAGCCAGGGTAATGATATGATTGCAGGGCCCTCAGGGGGAACAGTATGCATACTGATGAGGCTACCCTGGGCAAACAAGACATATTATTACTATTATCATGTGACAGAGATGACAATACACCAGTTTACGGTTATGGGCGCCATTTTAATTTACGAGTGAACAAACCAAATGACCTCTAGAGGTCATTGGTTTAAGCGTAAATTAAGATTGCGCCCATGCAAATTATGATGACATCACTGCCTGCGGGCTGCGTTGTGCGCTCACATCCTAATTTGCATGGGCGCAATCTTAATTTACGCATAAACCACTGACCTCTAGAGGTCATTTGGTTTGTTTACTCGTAAATTAAAATGGTGCTCATGTCAGCGCTTGCACACTGTTGTAACTGTAAACTGGTGTACAGTATGTAGAATGGGGACTTACCTGAAACATCTTGAGCCACGCGGCAAGGTTGGACGGAGGAGTTGATGGTTGGAGAAAAGAGGTCAATCGTTTACGCTGTGGCGACCCTGACGAGGAAGGGACATATGACCTTAAGGCTGTCGACTTTGGGTAGGGAACTATGCTGCCACCCCTAGAAAAGAAAGAGAAAAAAGACCACCAAAATAAATAAATATAACAGAGAATGAAACTACATGTACATGTAGTCTGATAAAAATCTACAGGAAATGACCATGAACTGAATTTGTATACATGAACATGTACATGGGCAAATCAAGGGTATTTGTTTATAAATATCATTTCCTTATAGTTCCAAGTAATTCATAGCAAAATAGGAAAAGGAATATAATACATGTCAGCACTCAGCAGAATCATTTTCCTAGATATTCGCTACAAAAACTTTCATATACACACTGTAATATACCTGCATCATTTTCACCCCCCCCCCCCCCTGCCCCCACCTACACACACACTTTCATTTTAAAGAAGAGCACATGTATTCATTGTATTTACATGTAGGTCATGTGTAATCATATGTACCAGATACAGAAAATTTAAACTTCATGGTTTTCTTTTCCCTTTCCTTTTATCCTTCTAATGAGTCATAAATCTGTCCTGCATGGTTTCCAAAGTTGATCGAACTAAGATAACGGAATCATGTTTTAAAGTCCAGCTATTATTTCCTTGTAGGACAGAGCACCCAATTAACAGGTAATTAGTCAATTTGCACATGTTTATAAATACGAATTGGAACGAGGATGTACTGTAGCAGCAGAACTACACCATTGCACAAATGAACAAATCTGCATGATTTATGAGTGATAACGGTTATCATGTATTTAATCAAGTTGAAAGTTGCATGCTAATAAAATGCTAAACCTTGACAATTTAAAGAGAAGGTTGAGTTTTGGGAAGAGGTGAAAAATAATTTGTGAGCATTACTCATTCTTATTATGCAAGTGTGGAAGAACATCAGTTAAGACATGTTCCCTGAAAAGCATGGCTCTTCAAATGCCTTCATATTCTAAATATGCATGTAACATCGTAAAAATCGGGGGGGGGGGGGGGGGGCCGGCTTTTTACGCCAAGTGTTCGTGTAGTCCCATATATATCTTTCTGTGCAAGTGTTTGTAACTTTACCAAGACTTGGCTAAATTTCTTATCATTTTGATGATTCCAGAACCTTGCAATATACACAAATTCTTATATATGCTAGATGATCAACCTTTTCTGGTCGGTTCCACACCGTTTCTTTCACAATTCAATCGCATGACCAGAACTCAACTTCATCTTCATTTTCCTGGTATTACACAACAATTTATCATTTTATCGTTTTACATCTTCTTCACACCTCCTAATTCTTAACATACCATACTTGCATGCAGCTGCACAATTTTGCTAAATGTTATTACTGTAGATTTATTTGTAGATATTTATGCGACAAAGGTAGATAAATGAGCTTACTTGAATTTGGGTAGTTTACACGCCTTCTTGCTGGTCGATGCTTCCTCGTTCACTGACGAGTCTGATTTCCGCTTTGTCTGTTAGGTAAAAGGGTTAATGAAAAATTATGAGGTGAAGAAGAGATAACTCAGCCATTTTACACAACACATGCGCTGTGTAGACTTAACATGTTTAAACTCACATCGCCTGTACAAACTCAAACTTGTAAAATAATTTACTTTCGACACAAAGTAAATTATACTCTTATTATTATAAAGACATGCGAGACTGCGAGTCCATCCATTAAACTATGACATATAATATTATAAACTGTCTACCTGTATGCCTAATATTGCCTACCTGTATAAATTGTGAATGCACATTCCCGTTTGACATTATGTAGCACGCTATACCCGAGAAATTGCGCCAATTTTGTTAGTGTCAAACAGAAATCGCCATGTTACACTACATGTATAACCGAAAGCATGTCTGCATTATGCATAGCGTTCATAACGCAATGCATTATGGGCAAATTTTTTACGAAATGTGGTTTGAATAGTTGGAATAGGATTCCCCTACACGGTTACACTGTACATGTGGTCAACATTAACTTCCTATTATGTACACTGTATGTACTACTGGTCAGTACTTCCATTTACATAAGTACCGTAGAAGCGAGAGTAAACAAATCACACGTATACATTCAGTTGAAACTTGAAATCAATGAAGTAGGAAATTATCATACATACTACATCAAGGAAATATTGAAGAAAAAAATGTTTTTGTACTTCCCATGAAGATATTTTACCAAGAATATAGTTAATTAATTTGTACGACTACGAGTACACCTGTATGTAACAGAAATCTATGCTGTCCAATGACTGGTTTGCAAATGGATTTGGGGATGTATTCAATGCTGTACAGACTAGAGTTGTAGAGGCAATAATTAATAGGACAAAAAATTTACTAGACTGTACCTTGGGGTCTTTAGTAACCTATTAACCCATTCACTACAAGATTCTGTAAACCCCCATAGACTTTGTACAGTGCCCATCCGGTTGCTGGAAGCAACTGGTTAAAATTCTTTAAATGCTGTCCTCAAAAAATTCAACCAAATCAAATCACATCACATGTTTTCTATACTGAATACACTGTATATTATAGAGCTATATCCTGTCCATGCTGTAGCTGTACAGGTATATTCATGTACTGTAGAGATTGTGTGCTGAAAACAAGAAGGCAGTTACTAATACAGTCAAACCTGTCTGTTTGAAGACAGGTTCCTTTAGTACATGATTCAATGAGAAACCATTTCCAAGGGAAACAACAAATGTGGCCTTTGTAGACAGGTGGTCTTTGTAGACAGGTGGTCTTTGTAGACAGGTGGTCACTAAAGCAGGTTTGACTGTATCACATAACAGAGACCTACATTTTATGACCTTATGGCTCTCATCAGAAGAGTTTTTGTTGAATTCAAGCTCTAAACGTTTTTTCCCTGATTGTTTAAAGAAATATATGGAAAGGTGGTAGCATGTACAGTGTATGTAACAAGAGGAGCAAGTAAATGAAGTATGATTTTTGTTCAAAATCATAGATTTGATAATAGATTGTTTTCACATTACTTCTACTGTAACATGGCTCGGAGCCAAATGTCACATGATACTGAACCTCATCTAGCTGACCTACAATACACATACTTGCATTTTACTTATATCTTTAACTTAGAGTTTAACCAAAGCGCATTCATTGTTTGTAAGTACAGGTGTCTGTCAATAAAAAACAAAAAACGAACCTCCATGTATGTACACTGCACATACTGTACATGATCTAAAGTTCTGAACCCTGTTCCATAAACTTCTTTTCAATAACAATATCGGCATTGGCTGGAATAGAACGTATACATGTAAGTCACTATTTAGTTTTTCAACGGCTGGTTCAAATTTTTGAATATTTGTGGTGGTACACAAATATTAGAAATGGTTATATTTATGGATATGTCAGCCGTCTCTGAACCGATTTTGATCAAACAAAGATGATTTTGTCATTTAAATTGTATATTCTTTCAAATTTGATACTCAATTTTGCATTATCTCACATAAAAAAAATATTTTGTGCAGCACTCTCTGCAACAGAACTCAACTATCCCTTTAATATCTTGGATTACAAACCAATAGCATTGTCTAAAAGATCAAAATTTAAAAAAACTACACATCATTACCTTAGTATTCAGCTATTAACAATTTTATGTATTTATCTCAAGCTTCGTTCAGATAAGAAGCAGTAAATTGTGGCGGTTTCTTTTTATATTGACTTAAATGTAATACATTGTATGTTTCATATTTCTGTATCAAAAATACACAATGTAAAAAAAAACACCTGCTGCTGCTGCTTCATAAAGTATACATGCATTAGCCGTAACAGTCAATGTATAAAGAGAACACGTGTACATACCAACTTCGGCTCAGATCCGGAATGATCGCCATCTCCACCAGCAGCGATAGGTCCCGACCGCAGGACCTTCCCAACCACCTGGGCAGGGGGGCTAGGGCATGCGCCACTGTTACCATTAGAGTCACTCTCTGTCCTTGGTTCTATAATACTGCCCAATCGAATTGTTCTCCTACGACCGTTACGGGTACTGATAGTGTTTGGTGAGTGATGTGACTGGTTCAAGGAGGAAGAAGTGTGTAGATGTGGGTACCTCCTATGCCGCGCATGGCTGCTGCTGCTGCTGTTTGGTGCGTGAGACGGAGGTGACGACAGTGAGTCCGTTAATACTGATGGTGAAGACGATGACGACGACGATGACAATGAATGGGAGTTCCTGAGGTTAGAGGAAGGTGTTGACGGAGTCCTATCATCATGGTGACTGCGGCACTGCAGTCGGTTCCGATTGATATCCACCACATTGCTCCCGATACCCGGTACTGAAGTTAAATCCTGGATGCTATTGAATCCACCAGTGGCCTGCAAAGAATTTTTAAATGATATTTATCAAATTTGTCATTCCACGAAGGGTAGTTCATACTAAATTGATAAACAGACACCTGCAACATTCACAAATCATACCAAAAATTATTTCTTGACTTTAACACACAACTGTAAACAAAAATAAAATCTACACTGTACGTACATCATTGTTCGAAATCCTTAGATTAATAATTTAATAACATTAGTTGCAGTTTTTATAGCGCCTTTCAACTGGATACAAAGGAATAGATATATGTTCTTCAATCTTTACTGACAATGGCATTCAAAAGTAAATGCTGAATTGTTAGCAACAAATGTCCAGTTGTTGAGCTGCAAATGACATTTCATAGAATCAGTGGTCAAATACATTGTACATGTACATGTGTACAATTTTTTTTCTGCATTTGTTTTATTTTTTATTTTTTTATTGCCATTCAATGTTGTTGTTGTTTGTGTGTGACCCCCCCCCCCCCCCCTCTTTCTTTCTCTGATTTTAATTAGTATGAGGAAATAAATGGATGCATGAATGGGAGTTAGCAAAGTTAGCAAATAGACAGCGCCGCTATTGTCCATTTTGTCTGTTTTAGTTCATAGACAGGAACTTCCCTACATGAACACTCTTTGCAATTTCAGAGCAGCTTACATAACTATAGATAACGCACATCTGCAGTGACAAAAACTGATAAGCCAGGGAAAGATTGGATGGTTGTCTTTTGGACTATGTCACTATTATTTCAATTAGAATGTGCTGACTGCATGTATGTAGCTGAGACAAACAAACATTAATTAGTATTACAGGTAGAGTATGTACATGTACATGTAGGAAGAAACATGTGTTGTAGGACCTATCTAGAAAGGTTACTTGTCTACAGTGCCCAGTTTTCTTGTTTCCTGGTGGTGGTGGTGGTGGTTATTTTACCCGACTGCTAAGAAAGCACAAATGCTTGTAAGTTAGCAACCAGACGACCGACAGCTTTAGGTCCTCTCCGAGGGACCTGGTAATGAGGATTAATGCCTTACCAAAGGGCACTAGCGCATCCCCTTGGTATCGAACCCGGGTCACCGGATTACGAGACCACTGCTCTACCAACTGAGCTATCGCGCCTTGTTTCACTTGAATGGCCTTAATACTAGTAATAGACAGGTTCAACTGTAATTAAGTTTATTCCTACCTCTCTATGCTGGACAGTAGCTTCAGCCCGGGTCCTCCCGACACCCAGCAGTGTAGTCAGCTCATCTACACTAGCTGAGTTGATATCTACCATCTTTGCCATGGTAGATCACCTTTCCTCTCACCTGAAAAATCATGATGAAGATTGAAGAAGAAAAACATTACAATTCATGTATCAGGATCAGAAATTTCAAGGAACAAACAGTACACAAAAGGGTGTTTCATAAAGCTGTTCATAGTTACGAATGACTTTACGAACGACTTGTATATGAAGTGCCAGATAGGATGCCCAAAGTTTTTTCTGATATTTCCAATAACCTCAATTAAATTATAGCAAAAAATATACTTTGCATTGAAAATGTTTGTTATGATAAGAATGTTAATCTACATCACAGCTCAACTCGAGTTGATGCAGTTAATAATGATTGAGCATCTCATCTGGCTTTTCATATTTAAGTCATTCGTAAAGCCATGCGTAACTTTATGAACAGCTTTATGAAACACCCTCTTGTCACACAGTGCGAATGTGCCAGCGTATGTGTAGAACTGATTAGCGGCTTTTTAGGGGACTGTAAAATGTAGCGCTACACACTCTCTATGAGTATGATCACGCATCACATCTCAGTGCTGCACTACTCAGACAGAACATACTGATACCAACAGATTAGAGGTCAACACTTTTATAATGTAAATTGCAAGTTGGAATAGGAGGGTATCAGCGAAGACAGTTTCTATGGTTTGGCTTGTTTGGGAATGGATGATCGTCCACATAAACAAGGACGTTTTTTTCTTTGGCGCACAGCAGGTGTAGAGTTCCCAATCCACGCGCTGGCAATGCGAAAACGGATTCCGCGTAATTGAAACACCCCAAGTTCATCATCTACTTTTATGCTTTATATGCAGGGTTGTCCGTGTTCCTGAGGATCTATCGCTCATAACGTGAAAGTCTCTGTACAAAGTCAATGTGAAATGCATCAAGGAGCATCATCGCGAAAACTGTTTTTCGCGTCAACAGCGAGAGAATGGGAAATAAGAAATGTCCACGAAAATTTGCATTGTTAGGAGTAGGAGGTTCTAGTTTTTCTGCAGAATATGACATCAAATTACAACAATTTTGTCTAGAGAAACTTTATAATATTATTCCTGTATACCTGCTAGATGCACATGCCAGGCCATGCCTGGTTGTGTCTTGATCTTGTGAACAAGGCAAGGACTCTTGCCTTGCTTGCTTGGCTTGCCTGGCTTGTGCGATTTGATGACATGTGTAGTGATTCAGCCTGAGCCACTACGGCTCTGGCGGCTTATGCGCGTAAGTCCCGCATTAGGCGACACCCGCGGTAGTTTCCGCGGGCGTGCTTATCACTGGGAACGTTAGATTGAACCTGAGACTGCACGCGACAAACACTGTTGATTGCCCGTCTCTTCTGTCTCTTCGGTCTACTACTACTAGCGACGGTGGAGCTCCACTCAACGAGCAACACTTCAAGCGCTTCTTGAGACAGACTTCAAGCAGTATAGTATACAGCCTATGGTAGGATAAATCCTTATTATAGTCGTTCATGTAGTTATAGTTAAGATTTAGGCCCAGTAAGTTATATTCCGCTCCGTCACTACAATGGCGTAATCGCTAAATTTTTTTTTCCGGACCTGTTCGGGCTAGTTTTTTTTATCGCGCACGTTTTTGAGCCGCCATCTTGTCGGCGTTCGCTCGTGTGTTGAAGGGATTTTCTATTTTTGTAATTTCATTCGTAGGGCATGGTAAGCTTGTTTATTCCCTATTGGTAGTTGATTAGTGCTGTAGATTAGTAGATTAGGGACTCGTAGAGTATTTTCAGTGCTGTATTCCGATTTTTGGGTACTCATTTCGGTGTTTTGGGGATAATTTTTTGTGGTCGCACACATGTCCGAGCCGCCATCTTGGATACGTTGACTCGTGTGTTGAAGGGATTTTTTATTTTTGGAACTTTTTTCGTAGGGCCTTATAAGCTCATATTTTTTCATTTCTTGTCTACTTAGGGTTGTAGGATAGTTTTTTAGGGACTCGTTGGTATTTTTACGGCCGTATTTCGATTTTGACATCGGTTTCGGTCAGTTTTTGTACTTAAATTTGCTCGTTTTTTTTTCTACTCACTAGACTAGTTGTACAGCCGTTTTTTGTCGTGCTCGTAGTTTTGATCCTCTCGCCAGAGTTTTATACTGTGGAGATAATTCCACGGTGTTCTTTTTCGGTGAGGTATAGGGTCGGTTAAGTAGAACTTAGTAAGTAGGGGTAGGCTCTATTTAGACTAGTTTCAACCCTCTTGCCGAGGTATTATTACCGTGGAGATAATTCCACGGTGTTTTTTCGGTGAGGTATACTATGGGTATAGGGTTGTTTAAGTAGGAGTAGAATTAGTGAGTAGGAGTATAATTAAATTAGTTTCAACCCTCTCGCCGAAGTATTATTACCGTGGAGATAATTCCGCGGTGTTTTTTCGGTGAGGTATACTATGGGTATAGGGTTGTTTAAGTAGGAATTTTTTAGTAAGAAACTAAGTAAGATTATGAAAGAAACTAAGTAAGATTATGAAAGAAACTAAGTAAGATTTTGGAAAGAAACTAAGTAAGTTCTTACTTTTTAAGTAGGCAATAGGTCTTTCCTGTAAGAAACTAAGTAAGAAACTAAGTAAGTAAGCAAGTATTTTCCTTTAAGAAACTAAGTAGTCTAAGCAAGAAGTATTTTCCTTGAAGGAACTACGTACGTTAGTAAGTAAGCAAGAAGGAAGGATTGGGTAGGTACCTAAGTGGGATTTTTGACTGTCAGTCTTGTTTTGGATATCTGTGGATTTTGGGTTAAATCGTGGGTGGTATTTAATTTCATCTTCATTTCATCATTACTAATATTGTACGGCCATCTCGCCGAGCATTATACCGTGGAGATAGTTCCGCGGTGTTTTTCGGTGAGGTATATTGCCGGTTTAAGTGTAGTCCTTTAGTGTTACTTAGTAGGGTTTAGTTCTGGCCCGCTCGCTGAAGCTGTTCACCGTGGAGATAATTCCGCGGTGTTTTTCAGTGAGGTTTAGGGTTTCAGTATTTACCTGTCAGGCACTTAGTAAGCTATTAGGAAACTAAGTAGGGTATTATTAAGTAAGCAAGAAGGAAAGATTGTATGTGTATTTAATTTTATCATTTGGTTATATAATCGTTGCTGATTTGAAGCCGGTTATGACCTCGGAGAGGGTTAAAGTGAATTATGGGACTGAGGAGGCTTTACTGGCCGTTGTGGATAGAACTAAGTCCCACAAGATTTTTAGTTGGAGGGAGCAATGTGGGAGTTTAACTGAGGAGTTATTTTTGCAGTGTCCCCGTCTCCATGAAGCCAAGGAGCTGGTACATTTATTTGATTTTGAGCCTTATCGGGTGGATCAGGCTGAGCAGGCACAGGGGGTGGGGGAGGGGACTGGGCAAACCTTGACTGCACAAACCCAGTCTGTCCAGAGTCCGGGTCCCGTTCCTTATGGGCATACAGTGTACCCCCCATTTTCGGGTGAAGGCCCAGCTGGGCCTATATCCGGGTCTGCGCCCTCCCCAGCCGGGCCCTCCGCCGACTATCGGCTTAGGGATGATAGCAGTGTACCCTCCAGGGAACCCCCACGTAGGGATTATCCCTCTTCTAGGGATTTCCCTCCTAATAATCATGGTCCATCTTCCAGGGAACCCCCCCGTAGGGATTATTATTATCCCCCGTCTAGAGAATCCCCTTCTAGTAATTGTGGTCCGCTTTCCAGGGAACCCCCACGTAGGGATTATGTATATCCCCCTTCTGGGGAATCCCGACCTGACATTCAGTATCCTCCCAGGGAATCCTCACCTGTGGGTCAGGGAGAGTACCGGTCGCAGGGGCGCCGGGATTGGCCCCCCCGTCTGCCGAGGTCACTTAATTACGATGGGCGAACAAGTTGGCATTCCTTTCTCAGGAAGTTCACCAGTTATGCTGTATCGTGTCAGTGGAGTCCAAGCGAGTGTTTGGACGCACTGGGCTGGTGTTTGGAGGGGTCGGCCTCAGATTGTTTTTCGAACCTTAGGGATATGGGCACTAATTCTTATTACCCGATGTTATTAGCGATGGGGCGTCGGTTTGGGGCTACCCGATTTCCGGAGGAGGCCATAGCCGAATTTCGAACGGCTCGCCAACTCCCGGAGGAGTCTCTTCTTGGGTGGTCCGATCGGCTCCAAGCTTTGTCCTTTGAAGCTTTTGGGTGGGACCAACGGGGTGACAGCACTCAAATGGTATTGCAGTTATGCCAGGGTTGTACGGATAAGGCGGCGGGTTTAACAGCTCTCAATACGCGCCCGAAGTCCGTCGAGGAGGCCCTGGAAGCCATCAGGTGGGCGCAACATACCCAACGTGTTGTTTATGGGAGCGAGGCTCGCCGTACGTATTCGGCTTCTCGGCAGCAGGTGCAGCAGACTTGCATGTACGATCAGGAGGTGGACAGGTATGATACGGTAATTTATCATCATAGGCAACCCCATCCCCTAAATCGTTCCCCAACAGTTTCCAAAGGTCAAGATGTTCCCCGTCCGGCTCCCGTGGAGGACCGGGGGAAGGTCACAACGCCTTTTGAAGTTCAGGCCAGGAATGACATTGGCTATTTAAAAGAGGAAGTCGCCAGTCTTAAGACGCATGCGTACAATACCGATTGTATGCTAGAAGAAATACTGAAGACTGTTAAGTCTTTGGAGTTTTCTATGCTTTCCAATGCCCGCCCTCTATCTCCCGTGGCTACTGGTGTTCCGGAAAACCTGGAGGGATCGGAGAGCGAGGCCGATCTCCGATCTGGAAACCGAGAGGCCTACAATCGGTAAATACTGGGGTAGTTAATGTAGTTAGTGACCCGCCGGACTCTTCGGTCGGTCCCTTGGACAAGGTAGTTAATGTTAGTGACCCGCCTGACTCTTCGGTCGGTCCCTTGGACAAGGTAGTTAATGTTAGTGACCCGCCTGACTCTTCGGTCGGTCCCTTTGTCAAGGTAAATAATGTTAGTGACCCGCCTGACTCTTCGGTCGGTCCCTTTGTCCAGGTAGTTAATGTTAATGTTATTGTCGCTAGGACGGCCGTGGTGCCTCCTTCTAGTGGGAAGCGGGTAGGATGTAAGGTTGTTGGGAGTCCAGGGCTCCAGAGTAAGGACCTTTCCCTTTTCCAGCCCACCCGCAGGCTCCCATTTTGGATTCCTCGGATCGTGTTTGATCGGGGGAAATAACATGTTAAGTATATATATTATGGTTCATTATCAAAGCCATTCACAACGGCTCGTCCGCGAGGACATGGTGCCGGTTCCTGTTCCTGGGAAATAACATGTTTGTCTTAAATATATATATTTTAGTTCACTTTTGTTTACACTGTTTAATTTCATTGTAAATCGTCCATTCTGAGTTCCTGAACTTTAAGTGTTGATGTTTTTAAACTGAATAGATAACAATTAAATAAAACTGAAAAGTTCCTGCTTCGGTTAGCGGAGTTATCTATGCTGAATTAGCTGCTCCGCTTTAAGAGCTGACTAGGAAGCATTCTTTCCACAGGGAGACAGAGCACTCATGTGTGTTCGAGGCCATAAAACGGCCGGCTTTTGATATCTCCCAAGTGACACTACGTGGTTCCAATAATAAGTCAGAATATGATCAGGTTTGGGGGGAGTAATTCCTCTGGAGTAATTCCTCTGGATCAACAAGAGCCTTTTGGATTTGCTTGATGGTGTTGTGGGCCTGGGTGCCCTGAATGATATCAGGAACTTGCCGGTAGTGGCTATTGTGCCCCCGGGTGCCGAGTGGCCCAGAAAATGTAATCTTATTTTGTTGAAGTGTTTTCACCTTCTATATCATTTTCCATCTGATTTCAGTGATCTGCTCTTATCATTCTAATACTTCTTATATGCACCGTTTGGACTGCCTGTAGGGAGCCGTTTGGCTCTCATGTGGGATTGCCCAGTTTCTGGACATTGTACCATCCAAACTGCACTTGGGGAATGGGGAGCCATTGGGCTCTTCCCCTTTTCTGCACACTTATTGCCATTCATCGTTTATGTTGATCACTCACACTTTCATGCTCGGTCACCTTGGGAATTTAATGTAATGCCCCGGTTAATCCCTTATGCCTGTGCCGGGACGTTTTGCAATTTGTCATTATGTAATATGTATAACCGGCACGGTAAGGGTTAACTGGTATATTTCTGTTTCTCTATGCCTGTAATGCCCCCGTTAATCCCTTACGCCCGTGCCAGGACTGCTATTCTTTGTCATTTACACGTGACACCGGCACGGTAAGGGTTAACTGGTATATTTCTGTTTCTTTCTGTTCTTGATCCCTGGGACATTTCCGGGACTTGAATCCTATTTAGTACTTAAATATACCAAATTGTGGAATACAGTGCATTTTACATTATACAGTGCATTTTACTATGCTCTATTTTTACATCTGAGATTGTTCGGTCTCTATACACATGTTTTTTTACATAACATTCCCCGTACCAAATTTCGGAATACAGTATATATTAAGGTATGACAAAGGCGCCCGCCCTCTGGAAAGGCCAAGACTTCACCAGTGCTGGCAAGGAGGGTCCTTGACCCATCCACCAGCGGGAACGGCGTGACCCCGCACTGCGGTACGGGAGTAGTTTTAAGTTAGTTTTAGTTTAGTTTAAGTTAGAAGTAGGCTTTAAACTCATTAAGTGGGGAATAATGTAGTGATTCAGCCTGAGCCACTACGGCTCTGGCGGCTTATGCGCGTAAGTCCCGCATTAGGCGACACCCGCGGTAGTTTCCGCGGGCGTGCTTATCACTGGGAACGTTAGATTGAACCTGAGACTGCACGCGACAAACACTGTTGATTGCCCGTCTCTTCTGTCTCTTCGGTCTACTACTACTAGTAGGGTGTCTGAACGATTTTTCAATTTTCAATTTGGGATCGTTTTTCACCATTTTTGTTTGATATTTGAATAAAAAATGTTATCAGAATAATACATTTCAAATTTCAAGTCTCACCGATGTTTCTATCAAAAGTTACAGCCCCTCCAACACGCTGGTATATTCATATCATTTTGGTCAAAATCGACGAAAAAGACGTCCACGCAGAGTGATGTTGTTTTGCTAAATTTAGCCAAACAGCTGTATCGCGCGATATGCAAGAGTATGCATATCGTACGCATGCTGCTAAGCCAATCCGCGACTTGCAGCTTGAGCTACGCTGTCTCCGCGACATGTGCGATTGACTAGTATGGTTGGCGTTCGTCGCACAATAAACCCGGAAGTGAATGCACGTTATAGTCAATGGCAATATCGCGGAGACAACGCACGTTGTCTCCGCGATATTGCCATTGACTATAACGTGTATTCACTTCCGGGTTTATCGAGGGAATTGCCAACCATAATTTCAGTCACTATAATGTGTAATTGAATTTGGGGTTTCGTTCGTGCGCGGAGATGTTACGCGATGTAACCATGGTTTGGACTGAGCGGAGCGCACGCCTCCTTATTAGCTGATCCACCAAATAGCGAGAAGGGTATTTTTAAACTGTTATCAGTTGTGATCCCTGGGGGCTAGCGAAAATATAATCACATAGAATTGTTCCTTAGGACTGGGACTACTTATCGATCGGGGCGTCATATCTCAAAAGTGACAAACCTCAGAGTTAGCCAGGACACAATGTTTAAATTGCTGTTTTGACCAAGATATTTTTAGAATTTCGGGGGCTACGCCCCTTTGGAAATATTGGAATTCACCTGCTCTTTCATATGACACCTCATTCATTGATTATCACCTTCAGGATCACAACTGATAAAGGTTTGAATCTCGATTTGAAAAAAAAAAATTGACTTTTTTTGCATGGTCGCGCAATGCACGTAGGCTGCATAGGGATGCGTGTAATCTCTATGGGAAGAATTTTAGCACACAACATCGGGTGCGCGATCAGACACCCTACTACTAGCGACGGTGGAGCTCCACTCAACGAGCAACACTTCAAGCGCTTCTTGAGACAGACTTCAAGCAGTATAGTATACAGCCTATGGTAGGATAAATCCTTATTATAGTCGTTCATGTAGTTATAGTTAAGATTTAGGCCCAGTAAGTTATATTCCGCTCCGTCACTACACATGCATAGCCATAGGCCACAGCCAATTAGCAACTAAATTAGTCAATCATAAAGAAAGACAAGCAACGATATGTTAAGTATAAACTATCCTTATTCAGCAGAACTAATTTAAAGATTTTCAAAAGTCAACAATCGTCACTTTTTCACCTCACATTGTGTCTGATTATAGACCTAGGTCTACATTTACATTTGTAGATTCGAGACTACACAAATGCCGGTATACGGAGTACGCAGCGTAGCCGCATTGCAATTTTGCATGCATTGGCAACTGTCATGTTAATACAAATGCAACTTACCTGCACTGCTGCAGCTGCAAAGCCAAGGCGTTGCGCACGTAAAACAAGGTGTAGTCAAGTCCTTCAGGAACCATAGGATACCAATTCCTGGTCCAGAATTTCATATTTTCACGCCAAGTAATTTCTTATTAATGTACACATGACCTTAAGTGGATATAATGTGTATTGTTATGGTGTAAAAAGTGGAATAACAGTTCCGTGACGAGGTGTTCTACGTAGTAATTTTCATTGGTACGGTGTCGCTGTATGTAATTAATCCATCTTCCGATTGTTGCCAATTTGACTATCGTAAATATTAGCGGCGAATTGACCACTGTTTTTGTTTGCAATATTTGTAGTATTACACTGCAAGGAACTTAGAGAAGCTAATGAATATAATAATAATACTAATAATGATAATTATAATAAAAGCAATAGTAAAATTTGTCCTAGCTAATAAATAAAAATTGAAAATATAAAATATAAAAGAGCAGTCTCAGCCAAAGCACTCTCTCTAGCTCTCAGTTCGGAGAAGTCTTCCTACATACATGTAGCCTGCCTTCCTTCTTCATTATCTCACCCTCCCTCCTCCATCTTTCTTAGTTCTCCGGCCCCCCCCCCCCCCCCTCTATCTCTCTCCTCTCTCTGTCTGTCTGTCTCTCTCTCTCTCTCTCTCTCTCTCTCTCTTTCTCTCTCTCTCTCTCTCTGTCTCTGTGTCTCTCTCTCTCTCTCTCTCTCTCTCTTTTCTCTCCCCCCCTTTCTCTCTCTCTCTCTCTCTCTCTCTCTCTCACTCTCTTTAATTCTTGTTCATGCTTTCTCCCTAAAACTGCATGAAAAAAAAACATGGGGAACTGACAGAACCCCAGTGTGGAGCGCAGTATAGTGAGATTTTTGCTTGTTTGTTTGTTTATTCATTATACAATCTTGCATACCAATATAATTCTGATAATCATAGCTTACAAAAGTTAGCGGCACTTGATTCCATACTATATATAAGTACAATATATTATGTTTCCTCCTCTATTTATTCTGAAAAATCTCACATCTCATCAACATTCTCTTGTGTTGGCCTACTTAGGCCTATATAGCGTAATTAATAATTCGAGATTCTCGTCATGCACAATATAACATACTGTCTGTACAATAATTTAGACCAATCTCTAAATAGAAAAGGAATAATGATTAATCTAAATAGCTTTAAAAATATATATGTTTGTTCATGTTGACAAAAAGCCCATCCCTTTATCCCATTAAAAATGCATTGGATTTTTATTGGAATAGGCCTACGTTATGTATCTTTAAAACCAAATGCCTAAATCAATAAGTTCATGCTATGATGTCCATTTTTCGATGCGGGCACTGAACTCGGCTCGATCACTTGAAATTACAAAGCGGCATTTTGGCCTTTGATAAGTTAGCCAAGCTCTCTCTGATCAATTAATTATGGCAGATCCATTAAAAGCAGGTTTATGTATTACCACGTGATTTGATTTAACCAGTTAAGGGTTTGCAGTGACCTAATTAAATGTAATTCATAAAAAATTAATGAAAAAGCTGAGAACGTATAGAAAATGCAGATATTTATGATTATATATCTTACAAAGCGCTCTCTGTGAATTCACTATGCTTGATTTATCAAAGGCAGGTAATTCATTTATTACCACGCTAGTTGATTAAACTAGTTATTATTAAACAGTGATAGGCAGCGGCATATTATAATCAAATCTATAAAATATTTCATGGGGAAGATGAGGACGTAGACAATACAGAACTTCATCTAATAAACCTTTTTAGTTTAATATAATCAGATATCTTTGTTAAGTCCCTCGTTACCAATTATTTCCTTTGCCAGTTACGAATAATTTTGCATTTTGATAGTCAAAATGCGAATTGCATGATAATTTGTGTCTTACCTAGCAAAAATTATTCGTAACAGGTAATGGATTTTTAACGAGGCAAGATTTGTACATTAAATTTGATTACATTACGAAAATGGCCTATTCCGATGTACAATGGTTACAGTGATGTAGATAGGTTATCTAAGGCATATGAAATTAAAAAAATATACCCAATACTCCCATTTCAATTACTTGCACATTCCGACGCACGTCATGCATCATACGACAGGCGTAATAATTATGAGCGATTCATATCCAGATTACAAATCCTATTCATTGATCACAAAAAGCGCATGCATACTGAGCCATATTTCTGCATTGTAATGATTATGTCCAACTTTCAGCTTTTATAGCAAAACTCTTTTTTCATTTTAGGCCATATATGATTTTGTTTCGATGTGCCAAAAATCAAGTCACCTTTTGCGGCATCGTCCTTTCTTGTGTTTGGATTTTGAAGTATAAAACAGTTATATAATTTAAAATTGAGAACATCGTGCGTGGTGACATAAAATACATTAAAAAAACAAGTGTTTTAAATCAGACTTCTAACTTCTATTATTCAAAAAATTTGTTAATTGTTTTATTAAAAAGATATAGTATAATAGCATCCGCTACTAACTTAGGTCATTTACAATATTGATTTTATGATGATGATTTCTTCACAATATAAGAAGCTACATGTATCAAAGAAAATGCATAACCCTATAATAAATTTGAAAACTGAGGGCGGCAACACCAAGTATTAGGCAGAGCCATGGCACTGGTATTAGGGCTAATTTTGAACCTTGAAAACGAACTGGGGGAGGGGGGCTAAACGGGCCAATCGACTCCAAATTTGACATTGGGATAGATGTCTATGAGATCTACAATATTGCATAGTTAAAACATTTTTTTAAAATTAGAATATGCTAATTAGAGGTAATTAATTATGCAAAAACTTTTTTTTTCTTTATACATGGTGATTCTTATGAAAGAAAACTGTGTTCATGGTGCAATATACATGCTAAGATTATATTTACAAAATCTCTGATTAAAAAAAAAAGGGTAATTGATACGATAATTATCCAACTTATGAATAATTATGATGTCATATTATATCATGAACACGACTTTTTGGTGATGAATTCATGTGAAGTCATGAGAGGCGTTTTTACTTCCTTATGTTGGAGTGCTGGTGTATTTTTTTTTCTATAGTTTGATCTAAATGATGCATACATTGTTTTAATTACTTATTCTAATTAGTACTAATTGATTATGCAAATATGACAATTTGATAAATTTTCACTTTTTTCATTTTTTCTTATTTTTCAATTGATATAATCATGTACACATGCAATATACCTCTTGATACATATTTCATTATTTGTCGAGTGTCATATTCTAGAAAGAAGGTGACAAATTTGACAGCGTGATGTATTTCATGTCGAGAGTGTAACTTTATAAAACACAAGAGCTGTTGAAGTATGAGCGATCATCTCGTGAACCTACAAATCGCTAATCGTAATGCTCCAACTAATGTTTTTGGTTTCTGTTTCATGTACATTAAAATAAAGGGAGTGGGTCGAGAAGATATTGTAACAATGATGAGGCAATGCAACCAGTGGGGGTATCCAGACATTAATATAAAGAAGGGGAGGGTAGGAGGTGCGCTGGGTTATCACAGGTAACGATAGGCAGTTTTCCTGCAATCTGAGACATACAATGTCATGTATTTTGGGTCATAATTATGTTCCTTTTCTTTCCCTTCTACGTCTGCAAAAGAGGAGGGAAATCTAAAACTAAATCGAGTGATCAGTGGCATGGCTCCCTCGGGAAGTGAACATATAGTTAAAATGGAAGGAAGATTCACATTTTTTATTTTTTTAGAGAGAGCACTGTAAAATAATAATGGACGTCACCGTGACTCCAGGGGGAGTAAAAACAGAGTAACCCCTTTCTCTCTTTCTCTCTCTCTCTCTCTCTCTCTCTCTCTCTCAATTTAAAGAGAAAGTACGCCGATCAAATTAACATCCAATTCTTCATGTTCTGGTTTGTTATCATAATATCCATGTCCTGTATCACAACAATTGTTTAAAAGTTTATTTATAGTCTTTGTTTGGTTTGGATTTGACTATCCTTCTTTGGTAATCGTCGTTTCCGATGTGACAGTCTGCATAAGCAAACGCCCCCTCAGTAGAACATGATGATGCGCGAGTTGAGCAGCATCCCTCGCTAACCTGCCCCTTCATGGCCTTGCTCTTCCCCTCCTCGGGTATGATCGAGAAGTAGGGGTCGCAGCCAGATGATGCATTATCGTTACCACGGCCACCGTGGTCATGCCAGAGATCGCCATCCGCATCACAGCTCGTCCAACGTCGGCTATTGGTACGCGATCCGTGATCGCGGACAGTGATTGGAAGAGCATCTCCGCGTTGAATTGGGGAAGAGGGAGGGGTAGGCCCCTGATGAGGGAGTCGTGGGTGGGTGTAATCAATCATGTCCTGCGTGGAGCGGTGGATTGTCCCCTCCGTGCGATTGCTTTGTAAATATCGTTGAAAGGTCCTAGCGAAGTCAGCATGTTCACCCCTGCTAAAATCAAGAAAAGTACTCACATCAAAAGGATAATCATATCATTCGATCGTTAGACGGCTCCGTTACAGAATGAATACATTTTAATCGTGCAGGAAATCTAAGTCTTAAAGGCATCGTTTAACAATGTTAAATCTAAGATGCACGGCCCTATACGTGTTATCAGTGTCATATGGTGTAATATTGACGCCCTTGAAAAACTGCGCTTCAAAATGATCAAGAAGTGCCTTAAAAAAGTTAAAACCTTTGAGTGACCGGTTTACCATACTCGTTTTCCCCAATAGACTGTAGTGTTATGAAAACCGTTAAGAAAACGCAACATCTGATTTTGATTTCCAATCATAAATATCTTGTTAATCAGACAGGCGATCGGCTTGTAAAAGTCATGGGGTTTCTGACTGACCTCAAGGTTTATAATTATCATTGCAGCATGAGCTAAATCCAGGATTTTGTTTCAGAATCGGAGATAAAGTTTCTCAATCCCTTAGGTCCCAATACGAGGGGGAGGGGGTTGCTTCACCCGATAATATGAGTAGTCGTTACCCCATATTCAGGCAGCGGGATAACAAAGCTTGTTAATACCACTTATTATTTTGAATGGACAACAGCAGTCGAGGTTACCATGGTTACTTGAGATTTAGTTACACTTTTAGAAACATGGATTTAAAAAATTATTATTAACAGTCATATTACTCCGATTGTCTCATTTTCGCTCGCGTAAACATTGCCAGCACAGACCACTGACCTCTACCTCCTACACGGATCATCGCACATTCCCATTCACTATACGTTACGTACTAAAAGGCTGTATTGTCTGACCGTTCATGAATATTCATGTT